ATATATATGTAAACGATAATTTGATTTGGTTTACATATTTATTAGGTGATTTTTTTTTAATTTTTAAATAACAAAAATAATATTAAAAATTAATAATCTTTATAAAATTTTAAGATCTTAAAGTTTGAGAATCAAATCTAATACTAATTGATTTATTATTTATAAATATGATGACTAATATTTGTAACATGTGTTTAATTTTTTTTATATTAATTAATTAAAAATTATACTTATTTTTTTTTTTGTAAATATACATTGTAAGTATATTTTTAATATTACATTGGCTTAAAAGTGACTTTTATCGAGTTCAAATTTAAAAAATTGGATATAGTACATATAATCTAATGTTAAACATATAATTTATTAACTTTATAAATATCATTTTGAATAATGCAACATAATATTTTTATTAATATCATTTATCTCAAAATATATATTATATAATATATATGTAAGTATATATTTATTTAATTTTAAAATTAACAAATATAACATTCAGATTAATACATTATGATAATAAGTGAAACTAACTCTATTTTATATTAAATATTGTGGATCAAGTTGAGTTTCAAAAATTTCACCATATAAAAATTTTGAGTGAGGTAAAGACATTGATAAAACTGTGACAAACACACCCACCACTAACCACTTACATAAATAAAATAAAGAATAAGTAGAATATGAATTTAATTTAAATATTAGAAAATGAAGATATAAAATTAAAAAAAAATGAATAATTAGTTAATTACCGAAGAGTAGGGATATTCTATATGCAATCGCCACGTGTCAAAAGGAGAGCCAGTGCCGATAAAAAATCCGACCTTGGTTCCTTAAAATATCAACGGAAACAGTTGCGTTACTGTAACACTAACAAACCACCATGAGTGGCAGAGCTATTATCTCCTGTTTCTCTCCTCCTTCAACTCCGTGCTCCCGCAGAACCCTCCTCCGCCACGCAACTCCGCCTCCACCCTTCCCCCTCCTCCTGCTCTCGCGCCGGAGCCACCTCCTTGCCGGGAAGCTGTTGGCAAATGTCAAGTCCCAGAAGAACGTGTCGGAGTCCAAGAAGTACGAGGATGTCGTGCTCAAGAAGACGCGCGGTTTCCATGGCGCCGGAGAGGAACCCAAGTGGTGGCAAGTGTTCCCCAAGAGATGGGTCATCGTCATTCTCTGCTTCTCAGCTTTTCTTCTTTGTAACATGGATAGGGTATGTTACTATAAACCTTTGCTTCGTTTTTTCAACTGCATTATTCCTTTCTCAATCTATGCAATTTTGTCTGCCTCAGACATATGCATGGTTATGTTATGCTGAATCTAAATGGAGCCAAGTCACCAACATGTACGTACATAGTTAGGTCCTTAAGCATGCTCTGTTGGAGATCCTATATTCACTAAGGATAATACCAAAATAGTGTATCTCATATGTTAACTTTTGGAAATTGAGTTAGACCCAATCTTATACTTTAAGATGGTATTGAGTCTATTTTAATAGTTGTTATTGGGTTGAGTTAAGTTTGTTAAGCATCTCTTGAATCACTGTTATTTTCTCTGGTGTGTGTGTGTGTATATATTAATTAGGAGATAATTTATGGTGGAGATTTGCTTAGTTACTTAGACGCACAACACTAGTAAAAATAGGAATATCTTTGTAATCATTCGGGATCTTTTATATCAATACATTGGGATATTTCCATGGTAGTCCTCTTTTGTTCTTTGAGTTCCACAAGCTTTGGCCTTATCAACTTAGGATCGCGTGCATTTCTCTCAATTCTCTGACATGGTTCAAACTTCAGACCCAAATTGTAAGAAGGGGTTCAATTTTAGGAAGGCTTTGTTAGGAGAGACAAATTATATTTTGGTGATCTCTACACCTTGAAGGGATTGGTCATCACAGGATTCAATGAATTAAATCCATCTAATTATGTTTATGTAGAAGAAAAAAAATAATTAGAGCATACGGTTCAATTTGAAAACCCTTGTTTAGTACTTCTGTGGAGTCTACAGTTAGTTTTTTACCTCTTAGAAACTGCTATTGATTTCTCGTCTGCAGGTAAATATGAGCATTGCTATACTTCCTATGTCTGCAGAATACAACTGGAACCCCAGTACTGTTGGTTTGATACAGTCTTCTTTCTTTTGGGGATACCTCCTCACTCAGGTAAATGTGATTTTGTTTTGATAAACCTAAGTTTGACTAGCAAGTAGCAACTTTTGCCTGTTTGTATGACTTTTGAACTTAAGGCCACAACTCTGAAGCACAGGTAGATTTATGTTGCAGATTGCTGGTGGAATATGGGCAGACACAGTAGGAGGAAAGCAGGTATTGGGGTTTGGCGTGGTTTGGTGGTCCATTGCAACAATCATCACTCCTATAGCTGCCAAACTTGGATTGCCTTTCCTGCTAGTTGCTCGTGCATTCATGGGGATTGGTGAGGTGAGTTCTGTTAAAGTGTTCTAAATGATGTTTTCCTGCATTCTACTAGAGAAAGCTTAATGTTGCTACTATGTTGGTAAAAGCAATTAAGCAAATATCTAATAAAAAAAACAATGTAATGTTCTTTTCTTGTAATCCATATTGTGGCTGATTTTAGAAATAATTTTATTTATCCAATTGATGATGATACAATTTTATGATACCTCTGTTCCATATGAAGCTCACTTCTTTTGGCCTTTTCTCTTTATAGGGTGTTGCTATGCCAGCCATGAATAACATTCTGTCAAAATGGGTTCCTGTGTCAGAGAGAAGTAGATCACTAGCACTGGTCTACAGTGGCATGTATCTTGGATCAGTCACTGGATTGGCCTTTTCTCCCTTCCTAATTCATCAGTTTGGATGGCCATCAGTATTTTACTCCTTTGGTTCTCTAGGGACAGTCTGGTTTTCTGTGTGGCTTAGTAAGGTATGTTTTGCATATGTAAAATTATTTCCTTTGCATTCTGAACTATGAAATACTTGTCCACACATTTTCTCTATAGAAATGCTTTGTCTTGGAGTTGACTCTTTACCCTGAATTTTCTTACTACAACATGTTTTTGTTTATGAAACACGCCCTATTTTGGTAGAATTTTCTATTTGCTCACATGCTAATACTTTCTGTTTTTCTGTGAGTTGTAGGCTCATGGTTCACCTCTTGAAGATCCTGAACTGCGGCCTGAAGAAAAGAAGCTCATTATTACCAGCTGTTTCTCCAAGGAACCTGTGAAAACAATACCTTGGAGATTAATTTTGTCAAAACCACCAGTCTGGGCACTGATAGTGTCTCATTTTTGCCACAACTGGGGAACTTTCATTCTTCTTACATGGATGCCAACATACTATAACCAAGTAAGTCTTTCTATCTTTTTTGGGCATATGTTACTACATGATGTTGTGTAGACAGCTAGATCCATGCTTATTTTTTCTTTCTAGTTCCTTCATGGTTGTGTATGAATTTACCTTGATGATAAAGTTACCAGTAAAAGTATCTTGATGATAAAGTTACCAGTACCTATATAATAATTTTTTTAAACATATAAGTTGTATTTTAGAATTATAATAAATACTTTATATTATGATATACAAAGTTATTTTAATCTATTGATAATTTATTTTAATTAATATATATATATATATATATATATATATATTGATAAGTAAACTTTAGTAATTAGTATGTTATGTTAGCCGAAGGGATAAAATGTTAAAAATATTAAAATTTAATCTAGAAATAAAAAATAAAAAGGATAAAATGAAAGAGATAAGTGGTTAAAGAAAATATCTTAAAAGGTTTAAATATGTTTTTAGTCCCTTAAATTTAAGACAAATTTGTTTTTGGTCTCTCAAATTTAAAACTGCTGTTTTTAGTCCCTGTAATTTTCAAAAATCTTGTTTTAGTCCCTTAGTTCACCAATAACATATTTGAAAGTGACTAATTAAGACAGTTATGCAATATTAACCGGATTTAATGTGATATTTTCACTAATAAGGATACTAATAGGTAGATTTTATGCAATAATGTTTGATAAATTTCTTAACAAAATTTAAATATAAGGACTAAAATAAGATTTTTTGAAATTACAGGGACTAAAAACAACAATTTTAAATTTGAGGGACCAAAAACAGATTTACCCTAAATTTGAGGGACTAAAAACATATTTAAGCCTATCTTAAAATTATGATATATAAAATTTTTAACTATCAAGGATTTATTTCAAAATTATTAAAATTTAATTTAAAAATAAAAAGGATAAATTGAAAGAGAAAAGTGGTTAAACAAAAGTATCTAAAAATGCTTTGGTTGAAGCCTGAAAACACTCTATGCAAGATAGCTATTCTAATATATATATATATACACATTGAGAATATGAGACAATGAACGGGTAAGAGAGTTGTTTTAACTGAGTAAAGTAGGAAACCATGCAAATTTTATAAATAATATAAGGAGTCGATCATGCCAGTCATTTGCTTCTCATCACTTAGTCCACAGCCTTAGAAGCCATTTTGTCATGACTCATGACTAATGCTGGGTGATGTGGCAAGTTCAATCAAGGCTTTTCTTTTTTCGTTTATTAACTTTGTGTTATTCCAATTTTGTTCGATTTTACTCATTTGTTTTTTTGACCTGGAAGTTAACATCTTCCCTTCCCATACCCCACTAGATAACAGCCTCGTGTTTCGGGTCACCCTTTTTAATTTTGTTTAATTCCAAATGTCCAATTATTAGGATTATTTATTTTGGTATTCCATTTAGTCCACACACATACATGTCATGCTATTGCTTTGTTCATGCATTTGCTGGCTAATGCTTTTTTGTTTGCCTTAAGGATATATTTTCCAATTCTTATAAAACTATAATAGAGACAGGAGTTCATTATCTCTTGCATCTTTCACCTAAAACCTTAATCTCCCCATTCATCACTTACTCATACTCTTGTCAGTTGTTGACATTCAATGTCCCAAAATTCATTATGCGATGCTTACTGATGTTTGACGTATTAGGCATGGCACATTTGTTAAGCCTCAATTCTCGTCATTATCAATATTCAAGCTTGGAGAGTTCAGCTTTTGGTTGGAGATATGCTAATATCATGACCTACAAGATATTTTGATTTCTAATCTTGAATACTTGGAAAACAATTGACACTGTTTAAAGTTAACTAAAGTTATTTTCATATATCTAGGTCTTGAAGTTCAATCTTACAGAATCTGGGCTATTTTGTGTTCTACCATGGTTGATAATGGCTCTTTCTGCAAATTTTGGTGGTTGGATTGCAGACACTCTTGTGAGCAAGGGTGTATCAGTTACAAGGGTCCGCAAGGTATCTCCCTTCACCATTGTCTATCCTTTAATTCAAGTAATAATTAAAAAAAATGGATGCTAAATTGCACTTTTAGTTTCCTTATAATATCTAATCTCCAATTTTGATCATCCAATTTCTAATTCCACAATTTTAGTCCTTCAATTTTTAATCTACAATTTTGGTTTCCTTGCTGAATATCTATTTATTAATCATTAAAATTATAATGTTAAGTTATTCTCTGATATTAAGTAGATGATATGAAAATTAATTTTTAATAATATTTAGACTTAATTTCCATTTTCGTTCTCATTTTTTATCCCAGAAACTGGTAAAATAAGATGAAAATGAGATAACAATGAGAATTGAAATTGCAATTTAGTATAAATATTATTAAATATTAATTGTAATGACATTTTTTTAATGTCAGGTCATTCACAACTCTAAATGATTGATGATTGTGGATTTAAAATTGCAAATTTTTCAAAATTGTGAAACTAAAATTGTGGCATTAAAACTTGAGCTGGGAATCAAATATTATAGAAAGATTAAAAGTGCAATTTGGCCAAAAATGAAAAGAAAACCAATATCTTGTTTAGTTTGCATACCTACATCAAAATTGTCACAGGTTCTCGCACTTTTTATTTTATATAAAAATTAAGTTCATACGGGATAATATTTTGTTTCTTAATATTAACAATTTTAATTTGAGAAAAATCATTAATAGATGTTGCTTATATTTTGAGAGGTTCATAAAGCTGCAAAAAAATTTCTATAAAATTTGGAGACAGATCTTTTTTTGCCTTCTCTGTCTTACTCCTTAAGTATCTAGCGGACTAATGCTTTGACTACTTGTTTGCTGAACTCGATTCCATTGCTACAAGTACAAAATTATTAGCTTCACAGTGTAGTTCTACATCTTTGCAGATAATGCAAACAATTGGATTTCTTGGACCTGCTTTCTTTTTAACTCAATTGAGCCACGTTAATTCTCCTGGGATGGCTGTTTTGTGTATGACGTGCAGTCAGGTTTGCTTCTTGTTTTGTATTTAACATAGTTTTAATTCTGAAAAGGCAGTTTCTGTGTAATCCTAACATAAAATCTGTTATGTTTGTGTGTCTTCTTATATCTTCTGGACAAAGTTACTTAATACTTGTATAAATTTCTTAAATTTGAGTTTCATTTACATAGTTTTATCACAGTTTTTAGTTCATACTGTATAATCTGAAAATTTGACCGGCTAATATAAATTTTCTTGACAAGTGTCTTGAAACTTCTCTTAACACAGAATAACTACACATTCTCATTTTTCTGAATTTTCATATAAAGTTTGAAAGTGTTGGTTCATCCATTAATTCCATTAAATTTTCTCTTTCATAACTTGTTTCAAATTCTTCATGAATAGGGGACTGATGCTTTCTCTCAGTCCGGATTGTATTCAAACCATCAAGATATTGCCCCGCGATATTCAGTAAGTGGATTCAGTGTAATTAGATATTTCTGAAATTTGGAATTCTATATTTAATGTCATATGTGGAATGAGGATGTGACGAACATTTTTACTTTGGCATGCTAATTGATGCCCATCTAAATTCATCCAACAATTTAGTTGGTTAAAATTTAATTAGTTATGTCCTTTGAGAAGGATTTTTTTTTTTTTTTTTTTTTTTTTTTTAAATTTTTTTTTTTTTTTTTCCTCCGGGGGATTTTGTTTGGCCTTTCACAACA